TCTTTCCACGACTCTAATAGAAATTATCACAAAATTGTACGAATTGAATAATTAAAAGAAATAGTTATTTACATTATACATTTGTAACGAAAGAAAATACTGTATTTAAGTTCATCACATCTTATAAAAACCCCAGGGGCAGCCTGGTTGGCAGGGCACTGGACCCATGTCCTAGTTATCGTGGGTCCCATCACCACCGGACCGTGTAATAAATAGTGATTGATGTAAGTTAAATCTGTCGAGTTACAAAGTCCTCCATGTTCCCATAACAAATCTGGGGGTACTGATTCGGGAGTTTCCTTGTCTTCTGGATTGGTTCAAAATTGCGAGGCTACGGAGTTGAACATTAGTAGTCGTAAACCTAAAATTGGGTCGGCTGTTCACTGACGGATATAAAACAAAATAAACATAAATAAATGTAGTTATATGTCTTGAGACTCTAATAAAATCAATAATAAATTTATTAAATAGAAATTTAAAAGCTAACTTGTTTAAAGGCAAAATTTTCATTAATTATCCAAAAACATATTTTCTGATATTATCTTGCGTTGCTTTTTCTTTTTTGGAATAAGCAAGAGGAAGATTTGGATTGTAGTAGAATAATTCGGCGATATAATTTTACTTCATTTTCTGTATTTGCTGTGAAGTAGTAAAACGATAGTTTTATGATAATATGGGATGCCTTTTCACAAAAAAGTGGCACTTGACCAAAAGTAATGAAATAGATGATTATTTTAAAAGTTTGAATGTTAGATTGAACACTATTTAATGTCATATAATATTAGCTATTCATTACTATTAGAAGATAAGATTCATGAGCACGGCAGTATTATATTGCCAATTGTTAGATAATATCCTATTAGGGCTGTAAAAAAAGCTATTCTATATGAACAAAATCACGGCAATAAAAATAAATGCAAAATTTGCGTGTCAAAATGCGAACAAGAATAATGTTTTTTTGTTCCTGTAGAACCATATTTAAGAAGACGTGTAAAAAATGAAATGAATAGAATGTATATAAAGGATGGGACTGTGAACATTACACGAGACACTTTATTTATTTACTTAAAGGGTCCTAATTGCTGATTTCATTGTATGTTAATACAATGAATAAATCTTGAAAAAAACATACATTGTATTATTTGTAAATAAACAGGTCTTTTAAAAATGCCTGCCAACATTGGAGAATAAAATAACGGAGATTTTATTAGCGACATTTTTAGGCTACAAGTAAAGTTTCGATGCATAATGATGTAAGTCAAAAAGAGGAAATTGGAAATAATATAAACACTTACATTAAGCGAAGTAAAAAATATGTATATAAATCTTAATCTTAAGAAGATTTTTTAAAATCATTTATAATTACTTAGACTATTTTATTTTATAACCATCGTTGAACAGCTGACCCAATTTTTGGGTTTACGACTATTAATGTTCAGCTCCTTATCCTTTCAATTTTGAACCCAATCCAGAAGACAAGGGAACGCCTGGACCAAGTATTGGGAGAAATTTGCCTTCGTAGAGGACTTTTTGGGGGAACTAACCTGCATTTGCGTTACATAGGAAAGCCATGAAAATCTCCCTCGGTTAACCTGGCGGCAGGGGGATTCTAACTCATAATCCGTCTACCATTGAGGATAATATACGTCAGCACTGTGGTCGGTGCAAGCCGGAATTCGCATCGACCAGCCATCGCTGGGATTCGAACCCAATTCACCTTTTTGGAAGGTAAATGCCTTGAGCCATCTGTTGAGGAGTAAAAGAAGTATTTTTGCCATCAGTGGATATTTTATCACCAAATTGTTTTTTAAAAAATTTATTTAACAAATGCGGAGAAATTTGAGCAGTCAAAAAATACAGGAGGCTTTGTTAAAAAACAGGGTATATGAAAAAAAGCATGTGACACCTTGGAAATGGTTACATTTTAAAGTAGTTTTTTTTAAACTAGTAAATTTAATATTTGAATCGTAAGAAACACGGCCCATATCATGTCAAAAACTACAAAATTCGTTAATATTCAAATTTAGTAGTATTCTTCATTAATACATTCATATATTATTAATACCTCCAATGTGATTCGCGAAAGCATCTATTTGAACTAGTTGAAAGTTGTAATGAAATAAATACCTTATTTTAGCGATGTCCCTGTAATATCTAACTCAGTAATGTTTCTTCCGTCAACAATGGAAAGATTTTATTTTTAGATGCAATTCATATTTTAAAACGGTATTTACGGAACACTTTGCGCATCGACAACCTATGAAAAGAGTGTCTTATATACCAGTGAATTGCATTTTTGTAGTGGCATCCCCCACCAGAAGTATAGATTTCGATGAATGGATACCACTAGTTGATTCATTGCTGTTTTGTGTGCTGTATTCACATCACCGGGCTGTTCAAGGTTGCCATTAGTGGTTGAGTCAACGATGTGTGTGATCGAGACTGAGTAGCAACAGCATGAGGATAATGTCGCAGTAGCAAATCAACTTTTCAATGTGGACCATCCATCGAAGTAGTCGTGTTTAAATCAAAGTAGGAGTTTCAGACAAAGTAGGTGAGTTAACATCACGTCCGAAGGTCACCAATGTGGGGGATATTAGCTATCGACAATGTCAACCTTCATCTATGAAAAGGTTGGTATTCTTGTAGTGGTACTAGATGCCTACTTGAAGTAAACTAATTAAGAAGGGTGTTCTTTGGAGAAAATCGAGCATCTTGAAAAATAATAAAATGTTTTAATTTTAAACACCATCAAACTGAAATGAATGCGTTTACAACGAACAGTTAGCTTAAATATTTATAACATCTCTTGTAAATTAAATTCCCCTTTTTGGCAAATTAAAATGGTTCAAAATCAATGAATAGTTTTGTAGTTTTTGTATATCTTTATGATCATTCAGTGTTGGAAAAGTATGAAAAAATTGTTTTCATAAAACTCTTATTCATAAAGAAGTATTGATAGAGAAAATTTATTCGAACAGTCATGAATAAGGGCTTTCGAAGAGCATTATATTTGGAAACACTTCATTGTATGCAAAATGAGTGATAATTTTATCAAAGCGTTCTGCGTACATTGAATCTAAATGGGTCCTGCATTTTATATATGAAAAAGACGTAGATCAAACACAGGTATCTCACAGAAGGCTTATTTTTAGTAGACATCTTTTTCAGTGGATTTAGGTCTACAGTGGACTCTTTCTTAAAAAATAATGCTGTAACTTGTTTATATTTAGAGAGAGAACACAAAAAAAAATTATTTTATACATTCTAAAACATGAAAAATTAAATTTTTGTTTTTTAAAATTGTCCATTTATTCTGAAGTTTGAATAAGCTCCTCGCGCTAAATTTTTTCGTAAATCTAAAGATTATTTGTTAATTTACTCTTCAAATTGTAGGGAAAGAATTTACTCATTTTTGTACTAATTTCCTTACGGAGTAGAAAAAGCAAGTTTCGGCAACAACATGAAAATCGTCCCTCTATCAACGTAACATTGAGATGACTATAAAATATGCTGTGGCACCTTATTTTGAAATTTTTTCTTAACAAGTCTAGAGAGTGTGTCAAAAAGGTTTCATGGAATAGTCATCAAAATTACAACGCATGGAACTATTTCAATTTCCAGTTCGATGCAAAATTTTTGTTTTCAGAAACACTACATAAAACACTCACAATAACAAGTTTTTGTAATAAAAAGCAAAATAACACTAACACTGTCAAATTTTTTACAAATTCTTATGGTTTTAATAATTAATACGCTTTTTTATATCATTTAATTAATATAAAATGGTCAAAATTAGAAAATAGATTTTTCGAGAGATTTTCACGATTTTGGGAGTCCACTGTAGCCTTAAAGGACTTGTACTGTAGTATATCTACCACTACAAAAATGTAATTCCAATTCACTAGTATATAAGACACGTTAACTCGATTCTATGGCGGGGTACCTTTTCATATACGAAGGCTGACACTGTCGTTAATTATCATTCCCACATTGGTGACCCGGACGTAATGTGAACGCGCCAAAATTGACCGAAACTCCCACTACGATTTGAGCACACCTATTTCGATGGATGACCCACATTGAACAATTGACTTGTTACTTGTGGTTGCGACATTATCCACCTCCTCGCGGTGTTGCTACTCAGTCTCGTTCACACACAACGCATACACTCGACTGCTAAAGGCAAGATAGGAGAGACCCTAACCGTGAACATAATACAGCTCTTCTCAGAAAACAGCAATAAATCAACTAGTACATCAAATTCTATCACCGATATTATTATGCTGGGGATTGTCGCTAGTTATCATCTCCATAGACTCATAATAAAGATTTTGAAAGATCCAATCCTCAAATATGGAAACACATGTCTCCAAAGATAGGAATGAAAAGCAACTGAAATGTCTGGTGGTATAACTAACTGTAGGGGATCGCTATTAGGACAGGCGAGGTGCGTGCTATTCCTGTTTCCATAGGGGGAGTTCTTCCCCTAGACAAACTATACTTAAAATAAAAGTGTTACATTATTTGGTAGAATATTTTTGCAAATTGTTCGGGAATGTACTCTGTAAACTAACACGTGATGTCCAAAGATTTTTCGAGTCTTGTTAGACTTTGCAAAATATTTATATATATTTCATTTTTTATTCTAAAAGCGGTAAATAAGGTATATTGCTTTTAAATGTTCCGAATATTTTAGGGAAAAAATACGAGAAAAGGAAATCCTACTTGACCAGCGAATTTTGCTAAGTGAAAAAAATTTCAAAAACTACCAAAATGATGATTTAAAATAGAATTCATTAAAAATCGTTTCTTAAACAAATAATATGTTTTATTCAGAATATTATATCTTAAGAGGACAGCCAGTTGTAAATTAACAAATTTAAAATAAATTAAAACTCTTATTAGAAATTTTAATGTTCTTTTAATATATTATGTGTCTACTAAATAGGTAGAGATTAATTTATGAAGGCATTAAGAAAAATGAGAGAAAGTCTTACTTTGTTGGTCGGGCATGTTTTCTTCTAGACATGGTGTATGTACACAGCTTTCGTCTCTATCTTTTCTTGAGTAAATAACACAAACGATTTACGACGCTGATAAAGCATACAATGATAAAGCATTTTATTTTTACTCAACAATTATGGAAATCTTACTTCTTTTCGAGACAGGGAGAGAAAATTATACTTCTAATCCTTTCATTTTCAATAATAAACGAATGGAGGATCACAATTTTTCATTCTTTTTTCTAACAAAATTACACTCCCGGGCCAAATTATTAGAGGCATTATAAGATTCTATGTAAAATCTTAATTATCGGGTGATACTATACAGCTTTATTGTTTTTACTCGACTGAAACCGGTTTGCGTTTGTTTATGTTCGTGTATCAATTGGCTAAATTAGACGATATATGATATAAATTCGACGATTGCATAAATTAGACGATATATTTTATAAATATAGAATGTTTTTTATATCCGGCATTATATTAGTGTATTAAAATAATTAGACCAAATTAATAGACGCACCGTAGTGTTTTAATAATGACATGTTTTGCGCGATATTTTTATATTTAAATATTCATGTAACGGGCTTTTATTCGGGAGAATTTTTATATAATTCCCATCTGTATTTATTTTTAACATATTTCATAACAACTAGGAGGCTTCGCACAGCTCGCTGGCCCTCGCCAACCCCGGAACTTTGCAATCCGATGCTCGCTTTGCTCGCTCATTGGATACGTTCTTAACGTCTAGCTTTTGTATACTTTTTTGAACACTGAAGTTCCGAAAACTTTTCACTGTAGAAAATTCTAAACCTGTGCATTTCAATATTAATTTGAAATTGCAAACAGTTCACATATTTTTCTTAATCACACTATTCTAAATTTCAGTTGTTGAGAAAAGTAACTGTTGTAAGTTTTGTTTTAAAGTCTTTCCCACCAGAGGGCTAAAACCATGTGTTGTAAAACAATATGATATAGTACTGGGATGTAAAGCATCGGCTTCGAAGAAGATAATTTTGTGAGAATTTTTTTGATAATTCGGTGAGAATTCACCCGATTAGACATATGATGCTCACTACGTGCTCTTGCGCGCTGAAGCCCATCAATTAAAAATGAAAACTGTTGCCAACGCGAGAAAAGAAATATCATCGGTTTTATTGATACATACGTATTAGCGTTTTATATAATATAGATGTTAACCAAGTGATAGACAAACGTAAATAAGTGCAAACCAGTTTCAGCTCCGTAAAAACAATAAAAGTTTATAGTACCTGATAATTACGATTTTACATAGAATCTTATAGTGCGTCTAATAATTTGACCAGAGACATCTATACAACTCTGCTCACATCGAATATTTGTCGGTTTATAGATTTTTGAGAAATATCTTTTTGGAGTCATTCTTTACGTTTAAAAAAATTTTTTTAGCATCATCCAAATCGATTTTCATTAGTTTAAGTTGTAATAAAGTTAAATTAAGAAAATCTAAAGACAGTCAAGAATGACATCTTTTTATTGACTCAAAAACATCATTTTATTGATTTACATTTTTGGAAACCTATAGAAGTTATAAAAATAATCAGGCACCATTCTTCTTATCTAGTAAAGCAACCCTTTTATTCTCAATCTTTCTAAAATGTATTTTTCTGTAAAATATATACTAGGAATATAATATCCGTAAAGCATGGAATAACTCGAGAAATATTATCAAAATGTATATTTAGTGATCCCTAACCCCTTTAAAGTATACATTTCTATCGTAAATTTGACTGAACTTGACAGCCGTATTTAACACTATAATCCCTGCTCCACTACTGAACTACTGAAGGACTCGAGCTCAGTATTACACTACTGAAGGACTCGAGCTCAGTATTGCTTTCAAAATAATTCCTATAATAATTAAACATTTTAAATATTTTCATCGAGTAACGGGTGCTTATAGAGATTTTAAACAATTTGTAGCCCAGTTCTATTTTTATCGATGACAGCAACATTTTTTGACCTAATTGCAAAAACCCGTAGTTCATAGAGGAATACTTTTTTTTTTGTTGAACAACCAGCAATAAAAAACGGGGGGAAATAATAATCTTGAGGTGAGGTATGGGGTTTAGTATTATTATTTCATTCATTTGTTTCCTAATACGATGTTTATTTCTTGTATAACTTGACCATTTTAATGTTTTTCGGACACCCTGTATATTTAAACGAGTTTTTTCCCATTATTCGGGTTTTAATGCCGATCTTCATTAAAAAACGAGGGAACTGAAAATTGTGTTTCTGCATCAATGAAAAGTCTTTGAATTAAAATGTTGAATACTTCAAGAAACCAAATATGATTGATTAGCAAACCAGTAGTTTTCTATAAACAGAAAAATAATTTCAGTCCAAGAAATGACTTCCCATAATAAACCTCTGATGGACTCCGATTAAAACTCGTTGGGCAGCACTGGCAAGAGGAAATATTTTAATTTCTCCAGGAAATTTAACGATTTCTATTTTAGAACCGCCGTTGAACAGCTGTTTCGGGTTTACGACTACTAATGTTCAACTCCTTGTAATTTTGAACTCAATCCAGAAGACAAGGAAGCTCCTTCATTGAAAGAAAGCCTTCTTGGAGGACTTTTTGGTGGAATTAGCCCGTATTGGCGTTACATGGGGAGGAAGACCACGAGAACCTCCCATGGTTAGCCTGACGACAAAGGGACTCTAACCTCTGATCCGTCTACCACTGAGGATATTTCACGTCAGCACTGTGGTCGGTGAAAGCCGGATGCGTATCGACCAGTCATTGCCGGGGCTCGAAACCGGTTGACCTCATTGGAAGACTCTATCCCCAGAGCCATCGCGGCTCTTAACGATAGTTAAGAAATATTTTAAAATTAAAAGGGAGAAAAACATAAAGTAAAAATTTATCTAGAAGATTTAGCATTGAAGGTGAATTTTAAGCTACGTGTTCTTAAAAAAAATTTTTTTGATATGTTTTCTTAGTCAATTATACAGGGTGATTCTAAAAAGATGGGCAAAATTTTAGGAGGTGATAGTACACAGCCAAGCAAACAATTTTTAACTTTTATCAAACAATGCATGGTCGAAAGCAAAGCGCAAAGGTGCTGGCGCATTTGGAAAGTTGTTGATGCAAGCGTGAAAGCTCTATTCCCGTTGCGAGTTACTGCGCTGTGAGTTGTTATTTGCATATTATGGGAACAAGAACAGCTCGTATGCTAATTTTTCGTCACGATTCATACATAAAAGCTGCTGATTCGAGTGCTATAATGTCAAAAAATATTTAAAAAATAATTGGCTTTTTGTGGGGACAGCTGAAGGCTCTTATGTATGAGACTCCCATTGAATCTGCAGAAGAACTTGTCGCCAAGCTTTCGGCCGCTGCAGGGTAAGTTCGTGATGGTGTGTTTCAAAATGTTCGCCTATCTTTTCTTCGCCGTTGTACTGCGTGCATAGCCGCTGCCGGCCACTGTTTTGAACACTTATTGTAATCACATGCCATTAAATTTTGCTTTTATAACTTAACTTCATCGTTCTTTGTGTGTTTTTGCCTCATATAAGAACATAAACTTTGACGCCCTCTAGCGGTTTTGCGTTTTGTTTTCGACCATGCATTCTATGATAAAAATTGTTTGCTTGGGTGTGTACTATTACTTACTAAAGTTTTGCCCATCTTTTTAGAATCACCCTGTATAAGACACCGAATAGGAAAAAAGATATAAAAATTGATGATCAATGATTGAAATATCTATTTAAAGTGTTGTGATCACATTCTTCGTCAGTCTGAGTGTTCGCCATTCCAATGAGGTGAACCCAGTTCAAAACTCAGCGAAGTCTGGTCTATATGAATTCTGGCTGACCACAGTGCCGATACAAAATATCCACAGTGGTAGACGGATCATGGTAGAGAGTCCCATGTGCTCTCCGTGTAAAGCCTCCGGTTAGTTCCATCAAAAATTCTTCCACGAAGGCTCTCCCAATACTTGTCATCTCAATTGGGTTCAAGATTGTGGATATCTCTAGTCGTAAACTCGACAGAAAAAAAAGACTGCCCAACGATTCAATAAATCTAGTCTGTTTATTTCAGAGGATTGGACAGACATATAATTATTTTTACAGCATCGAAATTTTTTACACCAATACTATATGTAAATAGAGACGTCTCTATATATGATACATTAAAAAAAAAAAAGTTGTTAACTATAATTGTAATAAAGTAATTTTAGTTAACTACAAAGAAAATGTAGTTTTTCCGACACTGCTATTCATGTTGTGAAACATTACTTTGGAAGTAATTCTCAAAACAGCGTTTGTGGGGAGTGAGTAGTTAACCTATGAAAAGATACTCCACCACAGAATGTTTGATATCAGTAGGAACTCAGTATTTGGCCCGAAGTCCCACCAACTGATTCGTCGATTCTAGTAGGTCGTAAACTGTTAGTCATGTTTCCTATAAGAAATGGGATAAAAAAAGTATATCACAGCGGTGAACTGTGACGTCAGGATAGAGAAAATCCTGGGAGAGAGTGAGTCCCCATTCAGTTATGGGACTCTGGAAGTAGGGAACGTAGAAGCTTAATAAGCTCTTCGTCCTTCAAAAGTTCTTTCATCTCCTTGAAGAGCTGCAAAAATCTGGTGGCGTTGTCGGTATAGCTTTCACGGGATGAGACTTCCTTGCTTTCGGCGCTTTCCTGGGTCTTGCACCGCAGCCCGTAAAACAGGCTGGGTGCTCACCATTACAGTTGACGCAGGTGGCTGGGGTTGTCCTCGGCTTTGTACACTGGTACGCATTTCATGCAGGCGGGATTGGTTGCAGGGCAGTTTCGTTGCGTATGTCTAAATTGTTGACATCGGTAGCACTGGATCTGGTATTTTCCTCCTCTGAAGCGTTCAACTCTGACTGTGGCTTCTCCAGAACTGAGCTGATGTTAAAAATATTTCTAGAAGCACTGTTGTCCGATTGGATGACCAGAAAAATTGGGAGGGGCCTAAGCTCCTGGCCACTCCTTCTTTTAAGCTGTACTATCTTCTCTGGTAGAAGTTCAAAATTTTTGAGATCTTTTTCCAAGACTGGAATTTCCGTATCTGATTTCAGTCCTCTGATGAGAGTTTTCAGTTTTTTAGGAAAAGTGTCCATAGTTGTGGTGGGAGTAGCTGTGGTTTCTGCCGAAGCGGCATTCACCTCAGGCTCTGCCGGTACTGGGTCCGCTGGGATGGCGGGAGCTGGGCCTTGACCGGTTTGCATCGTTTCCGATGGAGTAGTAG